TAGACAATTGGTTTGCTGTTACATCAATTCCCCGAGGAAATGAGTGAAGGAACGGCAAGGCGAGGAAGTCAGTTCACTTGAAAGGTTGAATTAAGCTGTTTGCGCGTGACTGCAGAGCTCAGCGGTGGCGAACGAACGGCGCGGCGTAGGGGCAGAACCCAGGGTTTGGGGAAAGTATCACGAAAGAGCCATGAATCAAACATATTCGGAAAGTGGAGTCACAGCTTGTTCAAAAGTTCTCGCAGGTACAAGTCTGTGCGTCCACAGACTCATCCACCCATTTCTCTAGCTTCGTTGGCTAGCGTCGAGAAATGGGCCGCTAGCCCCCTGCTTGCAGAAAACTCTTAGAAACAGAGTGCGACACACACGCACTTTCTTTTTCCTCTTTCTTTTCTCTACCTTTCCTGGCTTCATGTTTCGTCGTCTCATACTTGTTCTTTTGCGCGCGCACTGGTCCCAGGTCCGAGGTCGCCAAGGTTTTTTTTACCACATACATTGTCCTGTCTTGTCTTCCTCTCATGTCTTCATCCTTTTGCCCTTTGAGCGCACGCACCTACACCTTAGTCTGGACCCTGGCTTTTAGATTGGCCCCCCCACGGAGGGCCTGTGTGTGTGTGCGTGTGAAACCTTTCAAATCACAGGGAACCTTTTGGTTTCGTTAGCAGGGGACACAGGCCCATCGACGAAGCTCTTCCACGATCGGGGAAGCGGAGACTGATCACCTCCGTGTACCGGCTGAAGTTTGTGGCTCCCTGGATGTTCAGACCTCCTTACTTATTTTGTCCTGGTTCTACTCAGGCTGGCGCGTGGCAAACCGCAATCATTTCAGCGCGCATTTCCCAAGCGTGTGTGTGTGTGTGTATGCTCTCACGTGTGCGCGTGCTTTCACATGTGTGTGTTCTCATAAGTGTGTCTCGCTCTACACTGCTTCGGATCTTTTGCCAGGATTATCGTTTGGTTCCCCAAACAGCGTGGACACACTTAGGCGTTCTTACAGTAATTATTAAGCAGCTGTGCTTAGATCTCTGTGCCGCGCGGGCGTGTCCAGCTATTTCGCTGCTATTTACAGTACATTCATGTCTCTCGAAATCCTTGGTGTGCATTTCGACTGCGCAGGCTCGCGAAATCTGGGGGCCCGCGGCGGGTGCTTGTCGCGACTGCGCTCTCGTTGTGACGCCGTATGCATGTTCGCACATGGCGGTAACTTTTCGTGGCAGGCGCAAGAGAAACCTCGTGTTTTGGATGGGGGGTACCTTGGTTAAATATTCCAGGTTATACCGTGAGTTCACAGAATATTTTTTGTGGAATATTTTTACAGGAATATTTATGGCTGGAGGTATGTGATACTGATAGTGGAGACAAACCCCAGAATATTTTTTTATGAAGAACATGTTGGAGGAGTGATGAACAATGGGCAATCCTGAGAAGAAGGGTGGAACTATACCCAGAATAGTTATTTAAAAAAAACTAAAACTATACCCTGGAATATTTAATCAGATCTGGTGCGGTTTCGCTCGGAACACTGAATGCTTTTCGTATTCTGTGATTTCTGTCGTCGTTCTCTCGAGATCGATCGTGCGGATTAACAGGTTGACACATTTCACAGGGATAGTTTGGTAAACGTACGATAATTGTGATATTTTTGGTTGGTATCAAAGATTACTAAAGGAGACCACAGGCTCATTGGCTCATTTCAACATATCCGATGATTGTTGGAGTGTAGTTCAAAATAGTTCAAATATTCTATCAGTATCCTTGGGGTCACATACCCCTCGAATAAAATAAAAAGTGTGAGAAAGAACTACTCAAGTGTTATCAATCAGGTTTGTTTTGATATGTTCAGCTATGTTCAACATGGTTCCACTCACACAGAAGTAGAAGGATTTCGAAAGGGAAAAATTTCAGAGGACAAACATTGACTGACTTGAGGGTCGCAGAAAAAGAACGCATATTTGTCAGAGCGCGCTTCTCATTTGGCTGTTTGTGAGAAGGAGGGTGGAACTATACCCAGAATATTTATTTACAAAATCTAGAATTTTTCTGGAATATTAAATTCATACAAGTATTCCAGTAACTGGTCAGTTCACAGAATATTTTTTAGATATAACTGGAAGTATATAGGAATATTTAAAAAATATTCTGCAAGGTCTCGACGTGGGTAGGTATCTAAGGCACCCGCCATTGTTTTGGTGGTCCAAAGTCGACTTTTTGTGACAGGTGCAAGGGATCGGAGCGGTTTTGCTTCGAAGTGCAGATTTCGTGGCAGCATGGTGGTGATCGTCGAGGCGCTCTGACTTCATGACAGGCGCAGTGTGTCGTAGCTTTTGGACATGTGGCCGTCTCTCTCTCTCTCTCACTCTCTCACTCTCTCACTCACTCTCACACTCGCTCTCACACTCACCCTCACACTCGCACTCTCACTCTCACTCACACTCTCACTCACACTCACAGTCACAATCACTGACCGCCGCCACTATCACCACGATCTGCACCTTCATCACCACCATCACCTCTCTGGACCCCAATGCTTCTAGATCTCTAGACTTTCTGCTGCTACACCTCTACACCTCACACACACTGCTTGGGGTCTCTTGCCGGGATAACTTTTATTTGTACATGTCTCTGAGAGTTGGCCACGGTCGAAGCAAACTTTACAATCCAGATTTACAGTTTCGTTAGTTTTTCAAACGAACTCTGGATTCTGGAACTTATTAGCCGTAGCTATATTGAGTCAGACCCGGATGATCAAAGCTTGCGTTGGAATGGCAGGGCCTTTGTGAGTGCGGGGTTGAAAGGAAGTATGCGTGGATCGCAAGCATGCTTGGAGAAGCAGAGGTATATGTCAGAACAACAAGAATTCCCAGAGTTGGGTTGATGACTTTTGATGCAATGCATGGGATGCCGTCCATGGCTTTCTTCATATGTGCAATTAATGCAAGAGCCGTGCCATTGGCGCCGCCCAGTTCCAGCCGCTTGCACAGTGGCCTAGCCAAGTCATTCTGATGTTTCGCATTCGAGAGAACAGGGTTTTGGCCACTGTGCGAATGAAGGCAAATGGCCAATTGGCCTGAACACCACCCTGACAAGTTCCTGTTGTTGCTGAACTAGTGACAACCCGATGCAAGGCTTACTCGCATATCATATTTTGCCAGCTCTCCCTTTCAAGTCTCAGCTCATCTCCGCGGGAATGTTTCACTCCTAGTTCGCCCAAGGTGCTCTAGGTACATCCAGCGAGTCCCAAAAAGACGTCAATCGTCAGTTGCCAGTGGATAGGTTGTGCAACTATTTACAAACCGTCCAGGAGTCATCATCAAGAATCAAGCATGCTTTTCTCCGTGGACAAGAAATTACATGGGATTGTTAAGTAATGTTAAGTAGGAGAGAACATGCCGTACTTTCAACTCCCGGCAGCCGAAGTCAGATAGTCACGAAGGTACTTTGTTTGTTCGGAGGTTCGGAGTTGAGATGGGGGCTGGAGAAGGGTGCAGACTTTGCTGTCTTTACCCAAAAAAGGACTCCTCTACTCTATGGATACGGTTTCCATATGATGCAGCCTCTCAAGAAAACCACCGTTGGTCCAGTCACGGTCCACCCCACTAACAATCAAACTCAGCAGGTAAATTAATCATGGATGTTCAGTGGGAAAAAATGTTACTGTACTGAGTTATGCTATACATCGCTACGCGACGCTATGCTAGATCTTGCACTTCAGCACTTCAATGGCTTTTTGGACGTGGAAGTGAACCCTTGTGCTATCTTGTGCTTGCCCGCAATGTGCGCCACAATTTGCAGCCCGAAGGGCCACATCAGTTTGTGACGTGGCAAACCGTCGCTTGGCTCGGACAAAGCTAAACCCGGCTGCCAGCTTTTAGGCGCGGCGCTTTGGGGGTCTGATTGTGAGGGTGGCTCATGGGCGTGTTGAGAACACATGAGAACACTATGCCTATGGCAAGGTTTTTCATGAGTACTGATGGGAGGGTGCTAGTGTTGGTCAGAGTGTCCCCGGCGTGTTTGTAGGTTTTTGAAGCAGACCAACAAAGCATTTTTATATAGATTTATTAATACAGCCGTTCGTGAAATGCTTTGCTTTACCACTCCTTGATATCCTTGAAGCCCATCACGTCATTGAAGCATGTTCTTGAAACTACGATGGTGTTGGTGTCGTGCCCATCTACATTTACATCCTATGTTGTAGGGTAGTTGACCTGCAAATGGCGCTTTTTCACATGGTAATTACCTAGTTCGCACCCAAGTTTGTTTGACATTGATTCCACCGTGCAAAAGATATTTGCAGATGTCTTGGAGTAGGCCTGGTGTAGAAAGAACATACATCGCTTGCTTTTTTGAGAGAGCCGGTGCTGTCACTTCTAGGCCGCCATGGCTGGAGTGCATCCCTCAGATAGACGCGTGCAATGATATGATATGGACGTGATATCCTGACCCCAAACAGTCACTCACAGTGTGAAGGACACCTTGCTAAAAGCCAGTTCCCTTTTATGTAGCAGTTTTGGGTTAAAATATGCGCTTTGCTGCGCCCTTGATTAGTAGTCAATTCCTGGATCACTCCTTCATTGCATGGTTCAGTGTGAGCATACTGTGAAGCCCAGGAGGGCACGGAAGCGCGACCGGAAGCGCAACGTAGCCCAAAGCCCGGAACCTCTGAAGATCCAGAATTCAAGCCTGGCAGGAAGTGAGAGGAACAGTGTAGTCGTAAACTCCAATGGATTTAGGCATCCAATACTAAAGACTTTAGTACTGTAGTGAGGAGTCCATGAATTTCAATGGGCTGCAACTTGAGGGCACCATCGCTCCTGGGCTCCACTTTGGGGCGCCTAGACTGGGCACGGAGCTGAGCAATTGCACGGACAGCCAGATTTCCCCTGGCCAGAACCATCCGGCTTTGGGAAACCTCGGAGATCCATTACAACATTCCAACTCTTACCAGAATTGGAATCATTCAACTCCTTGCCTCAAGCAATGCACCCAAAGCTTGCTGAGCCTTCATTTTTTGGGGGCCTCATTGCAGCATGATGATGACGAAATGGTGAAAGAACTTAGCAAAAACGATGTAGCAACTTGGCGACTTGAGTCACCTGCACTGGGTCAGTGATGCAAGGCCTAGCTTCAAAGGGGGGAATCAGGAGCACACTGGAAAAGACACTGGGTGCAGCCTTTGTTTGACAGCCACCTTGGACGCCAGGACCAACACCCCAAGGCACATATGCAACATGTTTTATCAGATTACAATATATTATGATATAAATGTATTACTTTACTTCGGGTGATCCCCACCATGACGTGTCAAAGATTGGTGTTCATGCCATGGTGAGAAGTATGTTGCCATGGTTGTGGGTTTTGTGGCTTTCGGTTTTGCTTGTGGGTCCTCGGATAGGGAGTCCAGTTGACATCCAAAAGTGCTACCCCGTGACCACCTGCCACCCAAAATGCCACACACACAGGAAATTATATTGTGGCGGTTATGTTTATGGTTGTGTTTGTGGTTGTGTGTTTGTGGTTGTGTGTTTGTGGCTGTGCGTTTGTGGTGGTGTTTGTGATTGTGTGCTTGTGGTTGGGATTGTGGTTGTGTGTTTGTGGTTGTGCGCTTGTGGTTATGTTTGTGATTGTGTGTTTGTGATTGTGACTGTGGCTGTGCGTTTGTGATTTTTTGTTTGTGGCTGTCTTCGTTGTCGCGTGCTTGTGATTATGTGCTTGTGGTTGTGTGTTTGGCATTGCTGCTTGTGGTTGTGTGTTTGTGATTACGTGCTTGTGGTTGTGTGTGTAACCCTTGGAATCACAGGGATCCTGTAGGATTGTGTTTTGGTAACATTTCATTGCAGGGGGACCATCCGTGTACTGTGCGCGATGGTCCAACGAAGCGGCCACAGTACATGCGGATGTCACGGCTGATCACCTTGACGTACCTGCTTCTTTTGTGAATGTTGGTAGCTACATCCCACTCTACTTTCAGGCTGTTTAGGTGGAGGTAGGTCGGCAGACTCTGTGCGTTTCGTCGTCCTTGTCGATCGATCGTTTCGCGGCTTTGCAACTTGGAACCTTTGAGCTTTGGAGGTTTTTGAGATTTTGGAGTTGTGGAGATCTAAGCCCTGCTTTCTTTGGTTTTTTACTTGGGCCGGCGTGTGGCAAACCGCATTCACATCAGTACGTATTTCTATAAGTGTGTCTGGCTTGACCCCGTAGAGTGGCCCCTGTGGACCCGTTGAACGGGGGTTTGTCGATCGTATCCCCTGCCCGGATACAGAGCAGCTTGCAGCGAGCGTAGGGG